TGCAGTTGGAGTCCCCCCATGCTCCCTCACCCATTCCCTTGGTGGCCCGTGATTGGGCAATGCATCCTCAACCCCAATCTTGTCATCGAGAGGCTCCGGCGGTCGGGACTGCTTGGGCATTGATGATCCATCATCTTTCGCAATGCCTTTGAGGATGGATGGAGCGAGGTCGGGGTCCCACAAGATCTGATTCAGCGGCTTGACCTCTGACTGAAACACGTGCTCTTTCCCATTAATCCTACTTGATATCACGTGTGCCAAACTGTTTGGCTTCACATGCAAATATGCTGCTGGGATGAAACGAGTTCTTTCCGGGATGCTTTCAATCAACGAATCTGGCACTCGTGCATGGCACACACTCCCAAACATTGTGGAGGTTGGCTTCGGACGGTCCTTGCCTACAATTAACTCGATGGGCGATCTCTTACTCTCAAGTCCTGCTGATTGGCCTATCGAACCTCCCACACCGAAGTGGTTTTGGGTTTGTGTGACATATTGCATGATTCGATTGAAGCTCTCTGGGCTACCGGTCAAGTCGAATCCATGGAGACGCAAATCACTCCTGATACAGGCCGTCATTTCCTTGACCCTGCGAACGTTGCGCTCGGCTAAACCAATACTCTCGTGAGACTGGGGTGCGGCAGCTTTCACCTGAAGTGGTAGACTCAATCCCCTCAACAGGGCTCCAATCAAGGGCTCACTATCGGTCAACACTTCGACAGTCTGGGATGAGTGTTCTGAGATTCCGAGTTGCCGAAAATACTGTCGACATTCAGACACGATTTGGTCTTGATTGGGACCACATAGACTGACTCCAGGCAATCCTGTTCCGGCATCAACCAAAATGATGAATTTGTTCCCTTCCAAAAAGAAGAAATCTGCTTGGATCAAGAGAATTTGATGGTCAACAGGTGTGCTGTTTGACTTACTTACACGACCATGGTGCAACGTGGATCTACTTTTAACACAATGAGTGCAACGCCCGTCAAATGGAATGTGACCTCGACGGCGGTGCAGCGACAACTCACGATCCACCTTCTTTGAAAATCCGGAATACCCAGCGACCTCACCCAATGAGCAAGGCTCTTTGGACACGTTGGATGGACTTGCATCCTGATCAAGTTCACCTGGAGCGGGAAGAAGCTGGTCGATGGCCGAGACGAATTCGATCTTTCGGTATGTGGTATGTCGATTGGGCTCATTTCGTTTCGAATCCGATTCAACTTCGTACATTTGAATCTCAGGTTGGTCATCGAACTTCAGCATCTTGGCGTGGTTGGATGGACTTCCACGACTCAGTGAACCTTTTGCCGATGTCTTGACCCCAAAGAACGAAATCTTTGGAGTACTTTCACTGGCCTTGGATGGGGACTGGGCATCGGAACTCTCATCTTTAGATGTCTCACTCGGTGGCTTCTTGCAGAACCATGAAACCAAATCAGACTTCATTTCATTCTCGGAGGTGTTAATGGTCCAAGGGTCCAAATTTCGAGTCATGTCAACATCCTGGTCCTTCCCACGGTGCTTGCGAACATGGGCACGAATCCAGGGCACACTGCTCCAAATCTCACAATCCAATCTCCTGATGTCGCCGACACGGATATGGCACTGGTCAGGACCAAAAACAAACGTCGCTCCAAGATGTGTCAGCCCAGACACACTCAAGAGATTATGCTGGCTCAACAGGTCCTACAACTGCTCTGATTTCATACCTTACCAACTTGGTTCGATCATGATCGTCATGTTCAATGACAGTGGGGAAGCTGACTTCTAGCATACACTCATGATCGACCTGGACCTGTTCACCTGAAGCAGTACGAAATGAGATGGGGCTGGCAAGTTTTCGTTCACGCAACACTCGATAGGCCGATAGGGAATCGATCGACACGACGGTCCGGCTAGCGCCGGAGTCGACAAGCCAAAGGAATGGGTCAGTGCTATCAACATTCTGGCAAATGAAGAATGGACGAGCGATGCTTTCGACAGGCAACAGGGGTGACAGGCGACCGCCACTCTCAATCTCTGGCTCTGACCATTCGCTCCCGACTTCGGATTCCGGTTGCTGTTCATGGAATTCTGTTGCCCTCTGTCCTTTCGGCTTGCCTCCCTTTCCATACTTGCCACCTTTCTTTCCCTTTTCGTCCCCTTTGTCATTCTTGCCCTTTCCTTTCTTGTCACCTTTGGGATGATCATCACCCTTGGTCTTTCCTCCTTTCTTCAGTGGGCAATCACTCGCTAAATGACCTCTTTGATTGCAACTAAAACACGTTCTCGTTTCGGATGTTCCTCCAACTCCTTTCCCTTTATCTCGGTTCTCGAAGCCCTTTGCACCCTTTTCTCCCTTCTTGTCTTTTCCTTTTCCCCCTTTCTTACCCTTATCCCCTTTGATGGCTGCAATAGGTTGGCTGTTGAGATCAGACCAAATCCTTTGTTGAGACTCATATCGAAGTGCAGCCTGGAGATAAGTATCGAATCGCTCGTCGGAAGAATGAAGGACAATCCATTGGCGGCATTGAGCTGGAAGTGAGCGAAGTAACAAAAGTACCTTATCAGCTTCTTGGAATTCAAGTCCTTGCGTGTTCACATTTGGGTCAACCAACTGTGACACTCTTTCAAATTGGTACAGCTCGGATTGAACCTTCCTCACACATTCGGGGATTGTCTTGGAGGTGATGGATGCATTGGACAACTGTGACCGAAAGAAAAAGAAGCTCTGTTCTAGTCTTGATTGCGTACTCTTTGGCCAAAAGTCGAAGGCATTCGAATCCACAGCAGCGCTGAAACCCCTTTGCTTCTTCATAGTTTCTGATGACTAGAGACGCTTTGGCACTGTTTTCGAAGCAAAGCTTGAGAATGGACATGAGCCTGACTGATCTTGTCACCTGTGCGGATGTCAAGCGATGCCAACCAAGTGGCTCGCGTTCTTTCAGGGCGGCCATGATTTCAGTGGGGTATGCGTTGGAGCCTAACCCTGTCCAAGACGCCAAACTCGTGACCCATTCAATAAAGCCTACGATCTCCGTTGGACGCGTCTTCCAGTCCTGGAGAGCTGGGGTTGGCACCGGTGGCATCCACTTCTCCGATCGTCTAAAGGGATTATCATCTTTCTGTTCTCCCTGATCATGTGCAGGAACCTTTGGGAGTGTTCACTTGGATCGGCTGCACTGGCGAAAACCCGGGAGGTGGAGGGATAACCGTGCCTAATCCCTGCTGTGCAAACGGATGCTGTTGATCTGGACTATTTGCCAAACTGTGCGGAAACGGTTGATCCGGAACCCCAGCGGCTTGCGACGAGCTCTGATAGAACTGTCGCCATGGATCGTTCGCCATCAAAGGATCTTGCATTCCTGATCCACTCGAGATGCCCTGGTTAGGCTGAGAAGGCCATGGGTTCATGGGATGATTCGGAATATCTAAATTGGGATGGTTGGTATGCGCAAAAGTGCTATCGGCACCGGCTGGAAACGGCGGGACGTTCACGGGAACTGCATTCGGTGCAGTGGGAGTACCGACAACATTTGGCGTGATCGGCGCCTGTGTTTGCGGAATTTGGAATTGATTCGAACTAGCTGGCGGCTGCACGGACAAAAGCTGCTCAAGCAACGGTCCAAGTCCGCTCAAGGTACTTGCTAGATGACTTACCTGGTTCTCCAAATTCGAGAGTCTCTGCTGACTTGAACTCCCACCGCCCGGACGAGTCTCTGGAGCACGACGAGTTTCGGAGCGGCCCCTGGATCTCTCGCGGGCAGGTCGATCAGCATTGCCAGAGTCAGCCATGGCTCAAAGATCACTAAGTGAAAGTGGCCAAGGTGTTCTAGAGTGACTTGCAACGCTGTTGACCTATGCTCCCTTTACAGGAGCTCCGCTACCATATGACACTTCAAACCACAAGTTGAACAAGTTGTCAAACTCCAAGAAAAGCAAAATGCAAAACTTGGTACACTTCTCGAACCCTTGTCGGTGTCGGCACGCGACGTCTTCCCACCGCCCAGCTTCCCGGTGCGCGACACTTTTGTCGCGCTTGAGCCATGCCACGATGGCATGTCGAAGTCTCGAATGCGTGTCATCCCTTGTGCAGGGGTCCATGCTCCTCTCTGGTTGGGATGTGGTACACACTCGATTTGTGCACTCGGGGCACATGACTAGTCGGCCAAAAGTGGATTCGTGAATCCACAGCCTGCGGACAAAAGTGCACCAGGCGTCAAGGTGGAGGCCGCAACACGGGTTGGCTGCCCATGCGGGTAGGCTTAGGAAACTACCACAGTAACAAGGCAATAACCGGTGCATTTCAAGTGAATATGCCTTATATGTGTCTATAGATACACGAGTAAATGCAAGAACCCTTTTGGTTGTCAAGAGGTCCATTCAGGTGTCAACTATTCACATCTCCGCCACCACCATCACCACAACCACCATCACCAGCATCACCACCATTAGCATCCCCATCATCAGCATCACCACCAGCACCAACACCAACACCAGCACCAGCACCACGCCGGAAACGTCTAACCTCTTCCCGGCTGCTCAGGTTGTTGAACGTCTTGTTGCTGATTTTAATCATGAGCCGGGGATGGGGAACCACTACGGTCACAAGCCCCATTGCAGCTTCTTGGGACAAATAGGGTGTAACCTCAACAGCTAAGTTATGCCTTGAAGCACTGGTTTTGTTGTTTTCTAGATCAAAATACATCCAAATGATCCAAAATCATTGTGCTCCACCCGAATTCCCCTGCCCGAAAGCTACAAAATTCATCCATCACCACATTGTTAAACCACTATCAGAAACTGGACCTTGGTCATCTCCACGTGAAGTTCCGGATACTGTGCAAACTTCACTGGGCCAGTCAGAGTTGCTGCCTACACTCCCCGTGTTTCGCAGTTCCTAGAAAAAAACAACACACACACACATCATAATCATACATGTTCGATCTCTGAGAGGATCTCTCCCGCTTTTCACACCTCTCCTTTTCATCCACCCCGCCCGTCCGGGCTGCCCGGGCCATCTGCGCAAAGCGCCGCCCCCCGCCCGACCACGTGCAGATCTCGGGATGACGAGCAGATCGGGAGGACTTTTTGGTTCCAAAGGAATCGCTACGATTCTGGTGGACTGTTGATGAAGAACCCAAATCAGCTCCAACCCCAAGTCATCAAAAACGCAAATCTACCTCAGAAACAGGGACTAGGTGATCCACACCCTGTACAAACACTATCTGAAAAGACTGCTTTTTGGACCATCTGGGAGAGCTGCGCTCTCCTTTTTTGGACCAAGGGCGATGGGGTTTTGTTCCTCAGGAGTCAACATGAAGCCATCGGAGTACCTGAGGTCAGAAGTGTCGGAGTACCTGACTGAGTATCGTTCTAGTCCTTTTGTATCCTTTTGTTGAATTGGTCTATGCTGGAACAACATCATATTGGTTCAAACAAGAGTCGCTGGGCTGTCAGGCCATCTCTGTAAGTGGTGCATCATCGAAACCATCGTGACACACCCCGAACGTCTCAGTGCGAGAACATCGTGTTCGCGCCACGAGAGTGTTCGCGACGACAGTGACCAAACATGTGAGTCGGAAAGGAAGAATTTCATTCTTCTGGAGAAACTTGGAACATATAAATCATATATTTGCCAATTCATATTGTAAACGATTTGTGAACTAAAGTGATCCTCGAATCCTCCAAGGACTTGAGAATCCTCGAAGGTCAGTCTCTTCAAACACCGGGTCTCACGCCGCGGGCGTCCATCTGAAGCCCGAACTCGTGACGACGTCAAATCCGCAGCGTCCTAAACACTGGACATCCGGCCATGTTCATAAGCCCTGCATCTGACAAACACTCTGTACTCGCTTGAGAACATGTCAGAGGTTAAGTGACCTGAACTAGGACCCTACCAGGGTACCGAACTGTTCAACCTTAGAACTGGTTGGTTTGTCTGCCTCGACGTCGTCGTGCCCCTGTCGACCGACCGACCGACCGACCAGGCAAGCGGTTGAGGTCTCCTGGTTTGGACGCCAATCAGTGGAGGTCATCGCTTGTGGGTTGGAGGCCATCCGGATTAGGATGGAGGCCATCGCTACTATAGGTTCCTTTTGGCCATTAGGTGCCATCGCCCTCCATCCCTCCATTGCCCTCGCTCACAATCGCTAATCGCTGAAGCGGCCAGCGTCTCGTTCACTGCAGCTGATTTCAACCAAGTGGGCACCGGCCTTGGTCGTGTGCACCCAAATAAACAACTCACACCTTGAGGGTGAGGGTGAATCGACACTCCCAAACCCGACTATATAATGGGACTGACTGACCATATCTGCATACATTGGGGTGGTTGAAAAAGGGGGGTCAATGGGGCGGCAGTCCTATGGCAGTCGTGTCTGGATCGTGTCTGGGTTAGGCATACGCCATACGGGTGAATTCCTTCTGTTCTGTAGACATGCACAGCTTCGGAGCGAAGCACCGAAGCTGAGGTCGAAATCACTACAGCAGCTGTATGGGTCCGAATTTGCAGCTGCTTGATTGCAGCCTGTTTTTGGAATCGAACAGTTCACGTATCTGTAACACCGTCGCTGAACAACTGGATGGCCCGAAACGCTTTCAACCATCCTCAGCTTTGGGAGGACACTAATGATGACATGATCAGTGAAACCAATGTGTTGTCAGTGACCGCTCCCAAAGCCAAAGCCGTGTTTCACGACCGTTGTCCCGTTCTCCTTCTTCTCTTCGCATCCGATGCCTGACGCCGGAACGGCCCAGCGGCAGGTCCAGTCGATGGGCGTCGCGGCGCCACTCCTGGACCAAGAGCTGTAGCCGTTTCACCTGGTCGATGACGGCGTCCCGGTGGGACACCGGTGCGGAAGACGTGCCAGTTCTCGGCGATGGAAGACTGACCGGTGTGCACCGGTCACGTTTGGCGCCATAGGGACTGGGGGGGGGGGCATGTGGAGGACTGAGGGCTGAAGGTACAAGAGACACACCGCTTGAGGGCTGAAGGTACAAGCTGAAGGTACTGAGGACTGAGGGATGTACATAGATTCTTGTGATAAAGCCTCCCAACAGAGGTTGAAGGACCTTATAGACTATCCCTTAGGTACCCCAGTAAGGTCCTGGTTCAGGTCACTTAACCTCTCTTGCTCTCTTTGTAAGAGACACCCGCCCTAAGGGCCCCAGGTGGCCCAGCGCCACGCCCCGGAACGACGTCAAAGTCGACACGTCCTTCGTGGCGTGGTCTGATGATTGGCTTCAAATCATTTCAAATCCATGGTCACAGGTCCGGGTGCCCTCATGGTCTCCTCTTTATTCAATCCATCTACTCCAAGATAGCCTTCTGTGTAAGAGAAGAACATGGGTTCTTGGCATATTACCGGTCCGGCAGATACTTCACAAATCCACCTACTGGTTGGTGAGCTATAGTCACTACACCACCCACAAACCCAGTCTCCCCAGTCGTGCTGCTGACAGCCCGGTCACCAGCACCACGTCACACCGTCACCGATCCGATCGTGAACCGCGTGGCGCCGTCGCGGTCGGACGGGTCGCCTCCTTGAGACTCTTCAAAATGGCCGGATTCCCTGCGGTGCGGCCGAAGACGTCGGAGGAAAACCGCGAAGGAGCCCAGTGTTCTGCCGGGACTTCCAGGTGTTCTGCCGGCAAGCGGCCGGCCTGACTCCCATGCCCGATTTAATGATCCTACATGTCTTTGTGTCAAAATGATTCAACACGTGCAGGGCTGTTTTTGGGTGAGTGCGAAGAGAACCTCTTCACATGGCGAACTGTGCCACGGCGGCCACGCAGTGGCTGAAAATGGTCGTGGAAACCTTAAGGTGGCGGCAAGAATGTTGTATGATACTGGTGGGGACTAGCAAGAGACGGACCAAGTCTCAAACCACCATGCTGTCTCAAGTTGAACTGGATGAACGTGAGGATGGCCTGGAAGATTCATCTTTTGCTTCGTTGGATGTCAACCCGGCTGGTCTCAAATCAAGCTGATTTACCAAGCTGCCGACGACTGGCAGCCTAGAGTGGGCGCTCTCGAGATGAGGTGTCGGACGCCTCTTGGGTCTGAAGATTGTTTGAAAACTTGGATTTGCTGATCAGCGAGTTCAACACCGACCTGCGACGAAAATGACCCCAAAACCCATTCGTTGGGCCCTGGTGTCTCCGGGATTGTATGACACAACCCACCAGGCCCGCCGAGACTTCTTCGTTACGACGTAACAGCTACGTAACAGCTGTAACATATGCACACGTGCAAGAACCAGCTGATCAACCAGGAAAACTGCTCTACTGCTTTGAAACAGTTCTAAACATGATGATTGGCAGCATGGGCGAGCTGTAGCATCTCACATGCCGAGTTCAAACCCAGACTGCCACAATTCATCTGGGCATTTGTCAAAGACCAACCGACGGAAACACAATTCAATTGTGACTAGATCAAGCAATGGCGCTATCACCAGCAGCACACAAAACATAGCAATCCTCCTGAGGGCTTCAGGATTTTTGCGTCTTTGAGTGCTCCAGATCTATTGCTGTACATCTCCTCGGATTCTCATCCTCATCTGAATGGCCATCCTCCACCCTCCTTGTGCGCTGAGTGTGCCCAACCCAACCCGGTTCCAAAGAAAAACACACACAACAACACCTCCCACTGACCGACACTTCTTCACAGGTGTTGTCACCGCGTCTTCAACCGTCACAAAAGTCGCTTCAGCGATGGAAAAGGTGTGTGGTCGTTGGCGACCACTGCTGTCGAACATGACCGTCCCAAGGCAAGGAGGTCTTGCAAGGAGGCTCGTGTCTTCCAAGGATATTTCTCCAAGACTCCACCTAATTATGGAATAGTTACATAGTCACTAGCTAGCAGTCACTAGCAGCACTAGGGTCGCTATGACGATGCATGCATGTAACATGGATGATCTGGCTATCATCAACAATATTTGACTTTGAGTTGCGCAGGAATATAACTATCCCACTTCCCCGCAATCAATTACCCCGGGTCTGCGACATGACACAAAACCAAGTAAGAAAACACAACAGATAAATGATACCTATACACACACTATCCCGTTTAGGTGGCTCCCGGGTATCCCAAATGAACCATCTGCTCCTCCTCTTTCTTCGCCTCCGCTGCATTCTCCTCATCATGGACTTCATCGATGGCAAAGGCCATCGCCACCACCAACGTCGCATCCACCTGAGGTCCTACGACCACATGGTATCGGTTCTCGTTGTCCGTTTGGTAGTAGCCTCGGACCGCAGAGCGACACCGGTGGCCCACTGAAGCGGCCGCTGAAGTGGCCGAAGACAAGGGCGAGGTGAGAAAGGTGAGGTGATGGTTCAGAGACTGGTTCAGAGATGGAGGCATTTGATGGAACAAACATCCCTGTCTTTGTTGGTGCACACTCCTGTTCTCCGCTTGTTCTTATATAGGTGAATGAACCGAATGAACAATTCCAACACTGGGGTCGCTTAATGTCGCCGCCGCTCTGCCGGTGTGGTTGGCCCCCGGCAGGCGCAGCACTTCCGTGTCGTGTGTTGTCTTGCAGCACACGGACTCTCTTAGAAGATTCTTAAGACTACCCGATGCAATGCGCCGCCCAAAAGAAAGAAGACACAAACATGCACACCCTTGAAGAGTTGCAGGTTGGTCCACTAGTTAATCATGGAGATGGACTATCATGCGATTTGCAAAACGGAAGCCAAGAAGCCTCCCTCACAAAGCCCTGGTTCGCAGTAGCAGGTCATGTTTGGGTCCCCTATTTGGAGGCTACCACTCCCTACAGGTCCAGTCTGACCAAGCCAAGGTCCGGTCTGACCACTCCTCAAACCTCACCCCGAGTCGCGTTTTTGTATGACCAACTCCCAGTCTAAACTGAGGTTAGGAACTACGACCACGACCACGACCACGACCACGACCACGACCACGACCACGAC